TATCGTACAAGACAGTTGGTGAACTTGTTACTAGCGCGGAGGAAGAGCAAGTTATCCACGACTCGGATGATGAGATTGAAGACGCAGCAACCGTTCGAAGCCTCCAAGATGCGCGACGAGCACACCGCGACAGTATTGTTAGCGAAATTACGTCTTTGCTTGGCACGAAAGACGGCCAGAAGCAGGCGCAAGAGGAAGACAAGAAGAAGAACATTTCAGGTGTATGGGGCGCGCTACACGGTCGCACCGCCAGCCAGCAGATTCGCACTCCCTGGTTCATCCTCATAACGCTGTTCACAGTGCTACAAATGACGCGTATCAACTACTTTGTTGCTACGATCCGAACGCAGTACACGTACCTTTTCCATGACTACGAGAAAGCAGTCGAGATCAACAACTTCTTCGATGTCGCGCTTCCAGTTGGCGGAGTTTTGTCTGTGCCGTTCATCGGTCTGCTTCTCGACAACACAAGCACCACTTTTACGATGGCGCTACTCGTCACTGTTGCTACCACAATTGGTGTGCTAGGCGTGATTCCGGAGACATGGGCTGCATACGCGAACATTGTCCTCTTCGTGCTTTACCGACCCTTGTACTACACTGCAGTATCGTAAGTTGTCTAATCCTCCGCTCTCAAACTCACTTACTAACACTGCTACCAGCGACTACTCCGCCAAAGTCTTCGGTTTCGCCACCTTTGGAAAGGTCTACGGTCTCATCATCTGTCTCGCTGGTGTCCTCAACTTCTCCCAATCTGCTCTCGACGCTGCTACACACAAGACTTTCAAGAACGACCCTGTGCCTATCAACGTCATCTTGCTTAGCTTGGCGCTGCTCGTCGGTCTAGCCCTTGTGGCGTTTGTATGGCGGAAGAGCCATAGGATTCAAAGGGAGAATATCGAAGAGGAGGCTGAGGAGGCAAGAGAGTCGCTTATGCCAGATGCTAGTGGAAGCCAAGGAGTGAATGGCTATGGGTCGATGAATGGAAGTGGGACTGTCAGTCCTAGTGAAGACAACAGGGGAAGAAGGCTGTGAGTCTGACACATGCAAATCGGTTACACAAAAATATCAACCCGCGCAACGATTATCAGCTCAGTTTTGAGTCGTCTTTCTATTGGGATATCGGCATGGCGAGGCGTTCGGTAGCGTTTTGTTGGGCATTTGTGGAATTCAATGACAGCTCCGAAGACAGGTCGCATACCTAGGTACTATTCTGCTAAGAAGGATGAATCAATCACGATAAATGGCGCTTCTATTGTAGGCACTTGCGATGTCAGTGCTGACTGATTAACACAGCACTGCTTCTTCTGTAGATAGGCAGATTGAGCCGCCAATTACTACTGTTTTCAGGAAAGTCACAACGATTGGCTGTTCTGTATTGCTTCCAGACTAGCCTTGTGAATGCGCTACTATTGTACGCTCAGCATTTTGATGCTGTTGAGGGAAGCCATCGGGAAGCGAAAAGGATGGGGAGTGCAAGCGGGGCCGACTGGCTGGCTAGGCAAGCTGGATCATGGCTGCGACCACAGCATCTCGGTCAAGGATTAGCGCGGGTGAGTTGTTTGCAGTATTTTACTATGCGACTTCCCCGCAGCACAAGGCTATGGCGTTCTGGCAGGGGCTGTGACTGGGAGAAGCGCACCCAAGCTCAGGGAGCGTTACATCTCAATGGCACCCGAAGGCGCACTTCGCCACATATTACCCAGTTGAGCATCATGCTTAGCTTCAGCTGAAGATTTCATTCAATGTTCATCGCTGCATCAAGCTGCAGCTCACCTGCATGTAAGCTCCTATAAAGGCGGTATTTCCCTTCTGCTCTCCCGCACATGTATCTGTCACACTTGACCTAAGTTAGCCTGATGCGATGGCGTTCGTTTCTAAAGCCCTGATTGCTCATCATAATGATGGTAAGGGCATAGGCATTGCGAATATATTCCCCCAGAAAAGATGGCGCTTCATGTTCTACCTCCGAGTCCTGCTCCAGATCGGGATGGGATTGATGATGATGACGAGTTGGTTCATTTGGGTTTGGATACCGATCAGACTATCATCGCGACTTTTAGCGAAATGCGGACTCGGTAAAGGAGACTTCCTCAGCTCCATCATCATACGCGAGATATATCTGGTTTGTGAATAAAGCGTCATTACTTGGATATGAGTAAAAGCTAATAGAAGCCAGAAATCCTTCTTGGAAATCATTTACCGTCAACAGAATCCCCCCTGGAGATTCTTTTGGGTCATGTACTTTCTGTGCGCAAAAGACGGAACCGAATTCATTGATGACTACACTGCGGCGTGGAGCACTCAACCAGGTTATGATAGGGAAGTGTTCATGTTCATAGACAATGGCCAATGTCTCACAGTTCCTTGCTTGCAAGTCACTGCAAACGTAGAAGACAAGGCGCTTCTAGAACATCTACGTGCTTTCTACAACTTAGCCCGGATGAATCTTGGCCTTTTTGAACTACTGGGCGTAAGATCAAGTCAAAAGATCGAGGTAGTGGAGGTATGCAGCTTCGAACACCCCAATTTGCTACCCCTTCGCTAACTTTGCTATCGATAAGTAGCTTCTACTGGGCTTCACGGTAGGCAATCGCATCGGACTTTCATTGGACCTAGGTCGACATGGATCATACAGTCGCCAGATTCACTTTTTTAAAGATGCATCTGGCTTGACCGGAACGGTGATTCGAGAAAGACTTTCAAAGGAGGGGGTTTTGACAGCCCGTGGGCATCAGACCAACTTACTCGCCTCTGGCACACAAGCGCGGGCACTTAACATTGTGCGAGACTGGGATCCGCATGTCACCAGTATAATAATCATCTTCCCGACGGCACTAAGTTTGATAATCTCGATCGTCTGGTCCATTGTGGCCGCTGTGCATTTCAAGGCAGATGTTCAAGCCAGCGTGCAGACTGGTTTCACTATCGGAAGCTATGTGGTAACAGCAGGTGCGTTCAAGTCATCGTAAGCATCGCTCATGTACAAGACAGCTAATGTGAACAGGAGCGCTTCTTATCGCTCTCGTCGCATTTCTCGATACGAAAATGAATGCTTCGTAGTATTTACGTTTGTGATGCAATGCAAGGTCGTATCTCAGAGATACGGATGGTGGAGTCTGAAAGTGCTCATGGATTTTGGTTGTAAGAGAAATGTAGCCGGCGGTCTGTTGTTGTGGCTCAATTGCTTGACAACATTCCGCGCGCCTCACACTCGGCTTCGTACGCCGCCAGTTGCTCCATTTTCTTTTCAACAATCGAGCTCATCTCCTTTTCCAAGTCATTGCTAAGTTTCTCATCTCCCGGTTCATGAAGGGCGCTCCAATACACCACGTCAACATCCCAGCCTTTCCTGATACCATAGTTGAACCAAAACCTCTTTGACGTCCAAGAGTCTCGCATGCGAGTAGTAAGAGAGACTATCTCTCTCCGGTGTCCCGCTTTCTGTTCCGCCTCAACCTTCGCCATGGCTTGGAGGAAGTGTTCCAAACGTGGTACATATAAGGCTTCGAAGTCTTCCATACTGAACCGCTCGAGCATAAGGCCAGGACTGACCATGGCGAGCCACCAGGGTGGATCATAAGCGAACTGAGCAGGCATGGTGTTAACGAATTCGAAATCTAGAACCGCCACGATCTTCAGTGATCCGTCCTCATATCTGGCGAGCATGTTTTTGGGACGGAAGTCATGGCAATACGGTATGAATGGGCCGTCATCGGCCTCGGACGTAGGGTAATATCGCTCAATCAGCTGTTTGAACTTGTGGCGTGCAATGAAGCATCTCTCTGCATCCTGATGACTGTGTGCAAGGTTCCGCTGTACTTGGAGATGGACCAAGTTCTCGTCTGCACGGTAATGAAGGAAGGCTTGGGTGCTGGTGAACGCGACTTCAGGAAACTGATCTACCGGGTATTCTGTAACGACAGAAGCTAAGTTGTTCATGTTTGTAGTGAGAGGACGGTCACCCACCGTCCACGCGCCCGATATATCCTTGTTGATAGGTCCGATTGCCGAAAAGTGCAATCGGGAAATCTGCAGCATGTAGTCGGCTATCTGCTCATATACAAGATCGACTTCTGCTTCTTTTTGGTCGTCTTGACGCTGCCGCAAGAGTGTCTCTAGCTCTGTGCCCTCGATATAGTCCATGATAATGTATGGACTAAGCTGAGAAGGGCTGTCCTTAGCTGTACCCCAGTCACGTATCTTGGGAACAGGTAGTGTAGTCTTCTCTGCCAGATACTCTAGAAACCGGACTTCATTCTTAACCTTTTCCTCGAGAAATCTAGCAGCAGTTATTCCTCGCTTCGGGAAACGAATGATGACGATGTCTTCTTCGCCGAATCTTATGACAAGGTTGACATTGTATGAACCTTGAAGGTATCGGACGAATTCTCCCGGAGCATTGGTCCTCAGCTTCTGGCCTACGAAAGTGACAATCTCTTCGTTCGCGGCTTTTACTTTCGCAGCCCAAGCCTCGAGCTCAGCATTCCCAGCATCCTCCGCGATTTTGTCAAATTCGGTCTTCATTGAGATCGACAATTATGTACGCGGTGTGTGTCTGCGATATCAAAATACGCGATTCGAAAGGCAGCTATACGTAGAATGCAAAGGTTGAGGGTAATGCGAGGGTTTGAGTGTAGGGGAGGCAGCGGTTTCGTGTCGATGGCTGGTGTCAACAAGCGCTAGCCTAATTTCAGTCTAGTGTTGTCGCGTCAGGAATGTCGCGTCACGGCGTGGCAGTCGCCAGCCATTGCGAATACCTACCATCCTCACATCTCACGACGAAGATTATGCGTCCCAAACCTAGGATTCTTCCAATGAAATTTTAAGCCTTCTGGGGCCTTTACATCATCAATTATCGCGAGCGCTGTCGGTGGGCGTGACGGGTTGCAGCAAGTGTTTGGCATTATTTGCTACACTGAACAACCAACACATTCAATGCCGTTCTAATACGACCAAGAAAGCATACAACATTCGTTTTCTCTCCGGAACCTGCGGCCCTACTTCCACGTGCTAGCAACGGTGGCCGCGCTCGAACACCCCTTCGGCACGGTATACACGCGGTGAGCACCTGACTCGTAGGTCACCGTACCACTGCTCTCGACCTTGATGAACTTGTATTCGAAGCTGACACCAGCCGGAAGGTTGATTTTTGTCGACCAAAGCGGGTTTGCGGTGGTGTATTGGCTCGCAGATAGCGCAGGCGCAGACGCTGCGTTCCAGCTGCCGAGCTGGGCAATCGAACCAACGATCTTGACAGTCTGGCCGAACGATGTTGTGGTCTTCGAGTTGAACGTCACAGCTACTGTGGTTACAGGCGATGCGCAGCCAGTAGGTGCCGCCGTCGAGGTTGAAGTCGCCTTCGTTGAAGACGCGGGAGCCTTGCTCGAAGCTGGTGGGGTTGAGCCGCCCGAGCCACTGCCAGTAATCTTGATGTCTGCGCAAGTCAGGTAGACCTGCGGTGTTTGGAACGAGTTCCACTTGAACGACAGCAGCGTGTGGTTGCTTGAGTAGTTGGGGATCTTGATCTTCGAGCTGACTGTGTATCCGCCTGCGATGCTGGTGTAGCACGAATTGAGTGGTGCGTTGTCGACGCTCCTGCATTTTGAGCCATCATTGAAGCCACCGCCTACTTAGCGTCAGTACTGCGTTACTATCCCGAACATTGAGATATACTCACATGTGAACCAGTCGTTCCTCCAGCAAGGCTGACCCTCTTGACAGTCAGAGTTGTAACCGCACGTCTGCCCAGCAACATCAGTGCACTTCAGCTCACCAGCCTCGAAGCAGTCTTCAGCAGCCTGCTTCTCCGCTTCCGTAGGAAGATAACCCGGTGTCAGAAATTTGTCGACGAGAGCCTGATTCTGGCAGATGCGGTAGCTGAACATGCCACCATGGTCACCATTGGCATCGAGGCACCATTGTACATCGACGACATCACCGGACTTGTAGGTGATGACGGGTTGCGAACCCCAGCGAGGACCGGGCTGATTGTAATCGACGGACACGCGGGCGTTGTATCCGCAAGGACCTGAGCGACCCACCGCTGCGGCGTCAAGGTCAGGCCATGCTGTAACAGGTTCGAGGATGGTACATTCCGGGCATGTATCAGCGCCAGACTAGAAGACGTTAGCAACGGCTCGAGATATATCTCCGATGTCTCCGAATGGACATCATTACTTACTTGAGCATTCAAACCAGTCCTGCTCATAGGGGAAGAGAGATAGCCATGTGCGTTGGCACTGGCCACAAGAGCGAGAAGAGATGCAATCTTGGAGAACATGGTCGATGAATTTGTCCTCTCAAAAGATCTTGGGGAGAAAAGAAGTGGAAGAGATCGACTCTGAAGCGATTGACTGACCTAGTGAATAGCATTATGAAGTACGTCTTTGCTGGCTATATACATGTTCTTCTTCCACCATCCCATGATCAGCGGATCTTTGGTGGCTTCAACAGGCACGACGATCTCTTGTTCTCGGTTGCAGGTAGTCCCCGCATACACATGGTTGTCGGCTTCTATCAAACCTCATTGGGTCGAAGTCGGCATGTAGTAACCCCGGACCGCTTAACTGACCACATGGACAGGCCCCAAGAGAAATAATTGTGTCCGCTTAATTGCTCCCACGAGTTTCGCGAGCCGCAAAGCATTAGCACGTCCGGCTCATACCCATGTAGCCCCCAAGTACCGTACCCCAGATTCGTGGAACATTACCCCGTTAGCTGCATCAACTCGCTCCGGGCACCAACTACCATAGTGCGTCCGTCTCTTACACAAACTATTACTGAACGATGTAAAGCGCTTCGGTCGTTTGCCGTATCCATCGTAGTCCTCGAAATCGTCAACTTCGCTATTGGCTCGCTGTCGGGATGACAGGAAACATGCTAGCCTACCTAGGTAGTTACGATAACTAGTGTAACAGAATGATCATGGGGACTTCAGAACGCTTCTCGGCCCGCACCTTAAATTTAAAGAGCACGTTTGATGGAAGCTAGGATGCGGGGGATCGAATTCTAGACGGTGAAGCTAACGAAGGGCAGGACTACCATATTAATGCAAGGTTCAGTAGAGATAGCTTGGCATACGATCGCAAACAACGAAAGTCTGTTGCCGCAAGGTCGGAACATGGGTCGATGGCTTTCCGTCAGCAGAATCTCCTTACAGCACCCTCCATTTTCCGTTCTTTAGCATCATTTTCTGGAAGCCTGTCAAGAGCCTCATCCGCTCTTTGGTGTTGTGTACATGTGCCTTATGCTTCGAATGCATCGTCTCAAACCCCCTCGTGGTCGCTATGCTTTTTACTTGACGACCATGCCGCCTCTTCTGAATGCCGTCTGAAGCACGTGCTCTCAATCGTCTAGGAGGGTGCCAGCTCTCTCGTTTTGGGAGTACCTTTTCCCGCTTCCATTTTGTATGGTCCTCTTTTTCGAAGAGATGTTCTGGCTTCCCTATCCTCAGAAGTGATGGGTGAATTGTCTGTAGCTGTGGCATGGGAGGACGAGAAGCTAATATTCGCGGAAAACCAAAGGGTAGCCCCTTTCTCTTACACACCTGCCTTTTTGCTTGTTCACAAATTTTCAGAGGTTTGTCCATCAAAATCGCGAGAAGGAGAAGTGGTACTCGCACAACATAAACGTGTTCCAACCCCTCGACTGGGTTGAACTCGACACCATGTTCTTGTAACACTGTTTGTTCTGAAAGGCCCGTATTGTCGCAACATAGTCCTTGCCCTCTTGAGACAGCGTTCAGACTAAACATGAGTTTGGAGTAGTATAGATGCGCAGAATCGCAGGTGTCTAGGAAAGTGAAGCCTGGGGATACGGGTTTGTCTGGCGTTCCGAGATTTTGGAATAGCTTGAAAGGCTTGAAGGGCTTGATCGGCTCCGTGAGGATTACGCAGAACTCCAGACATGGTGATGAGCGAAAACAAGGCTGCGATCCAAGGAAATCTGCGCCCCCCAACTCGAGGGTTTGTACAACTAGTATAGCTGTGCAGATACATAGTGTACCCTCACATCTTTGCAATACTTCTGCTGCCAATTCAACTCTTGAGATGTGATAATCGACTTCCAGGTTGCTGCCATTGCAGCTAGCCAGAGAAAGAAGTGAGTAAACACGATCGCGCGGATCCCAACACTGCTTCTGCCGATAGTGGTCCAATAGATGGACCAAAGACTTGTCCTGGAACTGTCCCCGCCGAATGTGCGCGTCGAGGAGCCGAGCAAAGTGGGGATATGATTCGTATCGTATGCTCACTGTGGCTAACATATGTTCCATGCTCTTGAGGTCGATAGATGCCGCGCCTATCCATATTGTCACTCGTCGGGCAAGCATCACTTCTTGCACGATCCATGCACGAGTCCAATACTTGTTGTGTAGGATGAATTCGGCAAAGTCGTCGCGACACAAGTAGGCGGCTTTGAACTTGCCAATGGTATCACCGCCGCCCCTCAAGAAAAGTGACACAAAGGGGAGGAGTTCCGGCGGCATTGAACCAGGCCACATTATGGTCTCTAAAGCATTTGTATAGATCATCCCCATTTGGCGAACCTGGTGATTGAGCTCGAGAACATTGGACTGGTCGATACACACGGCATCTATCCAGTATGGCCCGATATCAGCAGCAGTGGTACCAGATGCCACTCTTTCGCGTGCAGCACTCAGGAAAGCGAAGAGATTTTGGCGGACTGAGAACGACTTGCCGTCCATCAGAATGTCATGCGACGGATCGGGATCGCCCCAACGGTAAGAGAGGCAGATATATGCGGCCTGAACATTGGCATGTATAATGGAACATTGAACTCGGCCATCGTGCGAAAGGGCGGGAAGGATGTGAATAAGTCGGATCGAGGGCTCAGAGTGATTAAGTGGCTGATGTCTGAAGACGGCGTCATACTCTGGCGCTGGTGTGAGGTGTATTGCGGTGCCCATACTGGCAAAGGACGACGGAATGAGCTGTGATCAGGTAGAAAGAGGAAAGGAAGTGTTGCAAAAAAGAGCAGGCGCATCGTTGCAAGGGACGGACCGCCAAGCAGGGGAGAGGGGCTATGCTGGCCAAAACCTGACCGGTGTCTACGAGGCTGAAGGTGGCCATGATAGGCTCTACGATCCCATGAGATCACTAGACAGAAGTCAGCGATGCTTTAATTCGATATAACACAGACCGGCATACAGCATATAGCGAGCGTTATCATGTATGCATGCGCAAGCTGGAATTGTCCATATTGCGACAGTTTCCCTTACTTCGCATAATGGTCCCAACGGTGCGCATTTCTGTTGCACATGCATGTCCGATCAGCCCTCGAATTCCGGTCTACCACCCACATCCATTTCGTTCTCAACACCGTACGCATCTTCAAAGCTCGCCAACTTGACACCCCACATATCTCCAGCCTTTCCGGGTCTTCCCTCATCAACGTCGATCTCATCTTCACCATCCCAGTTGCCGTCGCCGGGCCACCGGAAGGCTAAAACAGCGCCGTCCTTCAGCCCAGCCCCCTTAGGACATTGCTTGACATTCGCTGTGCCTGCCTTCGCTCCACCGTTGGCGCTCCCACTGGCTTTCGCTTTGCCTTTACCCTTGCCGCCCTCCTCTTCCTCTTCGCCAATGTTATATTCCCATTCTCCTAATTCGAAACCCTCGTTTGCGTCGTTAATGTTTACTGGCCGACCGAGCTGGATGTCTGACGCGGATGGAGGTAGTGGTATCGGCTCGCCGGTTTCGGGGTTCTTGAAGTCGGTTTCTTGTAGAGCGTCGTACAGGTATGTCTTGATCGTGTCGAAAGTGTGTAGAGGGTCGACGTGTAGGATGACGGTGGTCTTGTGAGCCTTGAGACGAAGCGTCCAGGTCTGCGGTGAAGGTGTCGCCATCGTGATGTGGCGGTGGGATAGGATACGGTATAGTCGTTGGACGTGTATTGTGCGCGTTCAAAGGGAATAGAAAGGTATCTGCGAGTGACGCTGTAGTGTTTGGGTGGAAGAGGCGCGTTGTTGCTAATCAATGGAGGGGATCGCGGGGAGGAAGGCGCGACCTGAACCCTTGCTAGAAATCTTGGCGAGTCGAGCTCACGAGCTTCCTCGACCTTCACCTCACCAGATATCTATTCCAGCCCGTATACCACGAGACTCACTTGCTTTCCGGATCTTCTTAAGCGCATTCAGTAAAGTGTGTTTAGTGTATCATCCGCAAATTCGGCGCGCGCTCGAAAGTCTGGCGAAATCGGACTCGAGGCATCTCCGCACCACCTCCGCACCCGTCGCAAACCTCACCCAACGGATCACCTTCTGAGGGAGACCACGACTGAACATCGCGCCCAAGGGCACCACAATTCAACAATAGCGACAACTGCGCCCACACCATCCACAATGCCACCCCCAGAAATGCTCGCGACACCACCCCAACGGCCTACACAACCCCTCCCTTACGCACCCCGCCTCGGCATGCCCTTCGACCGGCGCCTCCTCCTCACTACCTCGCTCTCCTTCCTCTCCGGCTTCACTCTCGGCTCCCTAAACGCCGGTCACATGGCCTCCCTGCGCTTCCGCGCCGAAAACGCGCACCGCCTGCCCATCTCAAATCCCGGCTGGTACCTATACCACAAATCGAAGAACTACTACAAATGGCGCTACGGCATCGTTGAGGGATTAAGAAAAGGCGCATACATCGCAGCATGGTCATCAGTCTTCTTCATTGTAGAAGAGAGTCTAGATGTGTTCCGGGGTACATGGAGCGCGGGACGTACGATGGAGGAGATGGAGGGCGTGGATGAATTGGACATGCGGAGGATAAATAAGGGGATAGCGGGCAGTAGGGATTTTATATCGAGTGGGCTGGCGGGCATGGTTACGGGTGGACTGTGGAGTGCATGGCATCAATTTCCTGTTTCGACAGCTGCGAGGACGATTCGCTTGGGTCTACTTGTCGGGGCTGGGTTTGGGCTAGGTCAAGATGGGTTGATCTGGGCGAAGAACAAGTGGGGTGGTGATAAGCTGGAGGAGAGTTGGATATATAAGGGCGCGAGGAACAAGATGGTTGAGGAGGATGTTAAGAGTAGCTTGGAGAAGGAGTGAGGTATTGGATTGGGAGTGAGTTGGACTGAAATGAGAGGAGAACGAAACACAGAAGATACCAAGAGGATCAGTATCCATGCGCAGAAGAAGCGCGAGGCTCACACAGGCAGAAGCTATGGTGACAGGTCAGCGCAGCATGACGCAGATGCTTCTTGAAAGATCAAACTTCCCAGCGTCGAGGTGTTGTCATCTGGTCAATCACCGAAGAAGGTGGC